AGGATGCAAATTCTTACAGGCAGGCCCTTTAAAAAGGGACTGCTACTTTTGGTTCACCGCCAACTAAATGCCCAAAAGATCTGTTTTTGCTGCAAAGGAGCCTCAAAACTCGAACCCCCAACATTTAACTTCGATAATCTATAACATACATACCAATCACATGGTGCCTAATATAACCCTATATACTACAGTAGTTTCCATTTTCTTTTCCATTATCCCTATACAACCCCAATATAACCCTAATATATAACCCCAATATACTTTCAAGATCACTCCATACTTCGCAAACGTAGCTCCTGGTTGCAACGGTCTCTTCCGCACGCCGAGTAGAAACTCGAAACCCATTACTTAGGGTTTGGGGGTTTAGGGTTTAGGGTTTAGGGGTTGGGGGTTTAGGGTTTGGGGGCTTCGGTTTTGGGGCCTCAACCCCAAGCCCAAGCCCCCAACTCCCAAATCCTATTCCCAAGACTCTCCCTAACCCTATACACCCCATGGCCCCCACACGCAAGCCTGAAGCTTGACATGGTAGTTTCCCAAAATAGGGGGACCCAATATATAGAGTCCAACATACTATAATCCTTATTACTGGGACCCCCAAAATGGTACCCCTATTTTTGAAAACCCCATACATGTATCCCTAAACCCTATATAACCCCATTATGGTAGTTTCCATTTTCTTTTCCATTATCCCTATATAACCCTACATTGACAACCCTTGACATCTTTAATCCTCAAAACCCTTCCCTCTGGGGCCTGCGGTATCCCAGGTGCCAGCCTCTCTCTCTTCGATCGGGGTCAAGTCTCCTGCATCTGGCCCCGTCTTGCGGCTACAAATCACATGACGGAAATAGATACATGTAGATAAGTAGACAGCTTCTGGTAGATGGATGGACATGGAGCTTGGGGAGTATAGCATTTGAAGGGATCCTGATTTAAACAAATGCCCATCTCAAAATCCTTCACGTTTGCATAGAGATGAAAGCCGTATCACAAGGCGCCCCTCTGCCCAAACCCACCCCCCTTCTCCAGCCCCCTCCGCAGACATCAAGCCCAACCGCAAAACAATAAAACAAAAGCTGCAGACCCTGCGAGCGGCACATAAAGCCATCCAAATGTCCCATAGAAAGAGCCCTGCAGCATCTTGCAGAGGAGCGCTTGCATCAGAACCAGAGGTTCTAGTTGAAGGCGAGACCATGTAAACTTGGATCTCTTCAACTCACTTGTCTTTCTCATACCTATTCCCGTCCAATACCTACCTCCTGTAGACCCCAAACCCCTCACCCTCAAATTCTCCAAAGACTCCAAAGACACCGACGATTCTCAGAACAATCCCTGCATAGTCCCCGGTGAGGACTCCCATCTTACTTCCCTGGGTTATCCCAATCTTTAGAAACTCCCACATCCTACTTTTGTCCCTCATGGGCTCCTGGTTGGGTCCCAGAAGTTACGTGCTCTGCTCCATGCTGTTGAGCCAGGGCCTGGGAATAAGCATGGATGTCCGGGCTATGGCTTTACACGGCTTAGTACTAATTTCTAATCCTTGGAACGATACTGCAGGAGGGATCGTTCACGTGGTGGACAGTCACAGGGATATGCAGCGTATAAAACATCAGCTTCAGGCAAATGCAGTACGCCAAAGAGGGCCCACATTTTTTGCCCAAAACGCACTTCAGGGTACAGAGGTGTTGACAAGGTTTTGATGGGCCACGGTCTGGGAGGTTCTTGAATTCCTGGCTCGCCCGAAGGTTTTTGAACTGAGCTGAGTCCGAAGTGGCTTAAACAGTTTCATCCCCATCTTGATGGGCAAGTTGGTCAAGCCATGTAGTATGCCTCTGTCAAACTCAACTTGTAAATGTCCAAACACTAGGTCACCAGGGGAGCGCTAATGCAATCCGCATGATGTCAACGACCTCAAAGATTGGGTCCGACAAACGAGACACATTTTAATGGCACAAAGGACGGCATGCCGCTGAAGACTGCTCACACACACCGTGGCCCATGATAGAAGAAAGCTCAACCTACCCCCTTGACACGAAATCATAGATTCCAAGCCCGAAACTCTAAACCCTGAGCGACTAACTGCAGCTGCCATCTCAAAATCATGTCTACAAAAAACCTAAGGAACCTGCTAGTCCCTGAGCTGTTCCCCCTACTAGTGTCCCCAAGTTTGAGAAAGCACATGAACTATAGTCTAAATTCCTAGTATCCCTTCAAGAAGCCCTATAATAAATACTCCCCTATAGAATCCCCTACATAACCCCCCTATAAGGAATCTAGCCTCGGCTACTTCGATGCCCAACTCCATGAGACGTTCGGCTCGGACTAGCTGCGCGACACCCTCCACAAGGGTGTTGACAGTCTCCTGCAACGATCTACTGCGCAGGGTACAGGGTGTAGGAGATTAGTTTGGAATTTAGGGTTTAGGGAATTTGGGAGTTTCAGGTTTTACCAAATCAGGGCGCGCAGGAACCTAGGGATATAGAGATTACTAAGGGTTTATGCGGTGGCCCTTTTGAGGGTTCGTGTGAAAGGCCACCTCACACGCGCGTAGAAACTGTGCCACATGCCGGAAGCATGTTGCGCATTTGCCGGGTAGCTTTGCGAATCTGTCCTCTTCCGTAATGTCAATACGATCGCGGCTGGAGACCTTAAACCACAAGGCGCTGAGAAGACCACAAGGACAGCGTTGCCAACCCGGACCAACAAGAGCTGACACCCGCCTCAACCAAATCAGCCATGCGGTCGCCAGACCTTGCTAAGCCCAATTGCAAGCAAAATCCATGATGCCACACTTCGGCTTCATCTGAGGGAGTTGGTTGCCCATTCGCTGGCAGTCCCAAACTATGCCACGAGGCTTCTTCAAGGTCCACATCTGTTTAGTTTCCATAGGGCTTGCTGATCAGGGTCTCGTTTTGGGAGTCTCCGGAATCATAAGGGGTGCTAAACTTTGTGGCAAACACTGGGGCCCCTGTTTTTGGAAACGCCCATGAAGCCCATGATCAAGACTCCAGGAGATTTTTTCATATGCTCCGACTTTCCACAAGCCCCGATACAACACAAAGAGCAAATTAACTTTGTAGGGTACTTCTCAAAATGGCATCCGCAAGAGAAAGACACAACAGGGAGCGCTGTGCGCTTCATACTCTTCAGCTGGTTCTACTTCAGGACAACTACGCATGCTAGGTTAAGGCACGTGTTTACATACCTTACCTGCTTCACGTTGCTGGTTCTACTTCAGGACAACTACGCATGCTAGGTTAAGGCACGTGTTTACATACCTTACCTGCTTCACGTCGCAGCTACGGTTTCTTTACCTTCCTCAGCCTCAGCCAAGCAACTCACTGATCGCCCCCTTCCCCACCAGTCGACGGGCAGAACACCAGTGAAGCAACTCCTCCTGCGCTTGACGCGTTTTCTTTGGGGTTTTGGATTTGGGGTTGGGGGGTCTGGTAGTGCGGGTCAAGGCCTTCGTTCTTGTCAGAAGGGCTTCTATCCACCCACAAACTGGTAGATTTGCGCTTTCTTAACGATCCACTTCGAAAGCGAAGTGGATTACACTTCTCACATCAGACTCGCTGCAACATCCAATTGGGCTTTTGGCATGAACAGGGTACAGCCGGGTAACAAAGAGGGGGACAGTTCAGTTCGCCGCTTCATGGTCTGCTAACCTCCCACAAAATATTGACCAGCAGCTCAAGTCACAGTTTAAGTCCAGGCAACATCATGATCAAGGCGCATGGGTACATGTCAGGTTCTCTGGCCAACATATTAAATTTCGATCGAGGCAAACCATGAGGGACCCCAGAAGATGATACAAATGTACACAACGTACATGTACAAGCGTGGCACTGGTGCATGTGCACGAGGATTGAAAGGGGTTAGAGTCAGCTCTTCTGGAGCATAACCTGCGAGGTCATTGTGGGCAGCTCCCTTTGCCTTGCATTAACCCCCAAGCAATGGCCTGCACAAACATTGGCTTCCGCACGTGTCCAGTCAGGGCCGAGGTTACAAGAGCTGCCTAAGATTCCCACCGCACGGAATGACACCGTGCGAGACACGGTTCAATCAACAGAAATATCTCCCTCGAACAGCTCTCAGAAAGCCACCCGAACATGAACAAGCACACCACTTGTTTGGCGCGCCTTCTTTTGCTTCAAAAAGGGCAGCTTCACAATCACGCTGACCTCATCATGATGATCACGTGTATGCCCGAGATATGGGGCCCCCGTACATACCCCCCATATCCTACTATCCTTTTAGGAATAGGGACCACGGATATTTGAAACCCAAAATCAAAGATTCACAGTTCGGACGCCTCAATACCACCTGAAGCGTTAGAGCAATGGGATGTTTTTCTGATTGGTGTTAACGTTGATTCATCATCTCTTGTGATTGTTAGTTTCACTTGCAGGGGTGCTGCCCTAGTATGTTGTGGTCAATTATAGTATATTATGGTAGATTATGGTATACTAGAGTACGTTATAGTATATTTTAATATGTTAGAGTATATTATGGTAAACTGCACACCTTTTGCAGCCGTTCTCAGCCCGTCCCTCAGCTGGTGCACTATGTTTCCTGCCCAGGCCCTTGCAATTCTTGCAAGAAGGCCGTGCAACACAGAAAGCGCAGTTGCAAAAAATGAGTCAGTTGGAAATTCGGGGCTGCACATACAAGGAGATGCGAGAGGAAGAGCAGCCGAGACTAGTTCTGGAGTTACATGTCAGACTACGGCTCTTGGGCTGCAAATGGCCATGGGCTCTAGCACCTCGCTTCAAATGCTAGCGCCCAAAGGGACGCACCGCTCGCTGGGCAGTGCAGTCGCAGCATTGCAACTCGAATTATTGGGAAAACTCCAGCTTTACTTTGCCTGTACAATCGCCACGAGGGGCAACCCCCGGAACTTATGATAACCCCCCGACGCGGTTTCCCGTGTTTCGCGGCAAAAGACTGATTGAAATCAGACGCTGTACATGCTCTGAGCTCAGGTGGGCTCAGGCCTCTCATGTTAGCCCCAATGTTTGCTCAGCGCAATATTTGACGCAAAGGAAACCGTCTTCTCGGCGATGTTGCTCATACCTCCGAGACAGTGAGGATCATGAGCGCAGGTGTGAAAGTCTAGGATTCACGGAGTAACAATCCAAATCGAAAAATCTACGGCAGCACTACGAGGTAGTTGTCATCGGCGCCCGAAATGTCTCGCCGAGCCCAAACCGGCATGGCGCAGCAGTAGTCATATTTCTAGGGGAGTCCCTCAAGGAGTCAATGCAATCTCAGGAGCAGCTCGGCCATCGAAGTGCTACATCGCCTGTGGCTTGAAGGGCTTAAAAGGTATCTTCTCATCCTTTGTTGGGTATGCGGGACTGGGCGACTGTGACAATTGCAGGGACTAGGAGATTTATAGAGACTACCATGGGGATCCATTCCGCCATTCCCAACTCAGCGCGATTCAGACTGCTCTGATTGCAGTGGTCATGACTCCTACTCATTATGATGGCCATGTATAGCCCATATCATTGCAGAGTGTCGCTGACGTGATTGTCTCCCATGTACTCAGCGCAAGACTGTCCGACACAAAGCCGCCGCACATTGCACCACATGTTGCCGTACAGCCTAGCCTAAATTCCAAATCTTGTCCAGCTGCGGCGTGGCTCCATTGATGAAAATGTAGATGGTTTGTTCCGGCTGTGGCCCTGCAGGAAGAGGCCACACTCCCACCCCCGGCCCCGTGCAGCTGCCAACTATGTTCCCTATTCTCCAAAATGGTACCTCTAATTTTGGGAAACCCTAATCCCTAGACCTTAAACCCTATATAAGCCTATAACCCTATATTCTCCATAAGTCTTCAAAGTCTGCCGACCTGCAACTTCTTCAGGCACTGCCCTCTTGATCTCCTTCTGAACCTGAGCTATGACATGCAACGAAAACCAAGAGTGGCCATGTACATCAGCGAACATAAGTACAGGCACACGCATATACACCTTTCCGTATGTATCCTTGTCAGATTCTGTCTGTCCTCTTCCAACAAGCCCAGTCTGTGCCGGGCGACCAAATACTTGAATTCGCCAGCTCGCATGCCGCCAGGTACAGCAAACTTACTCCTCGCGCGCCCAAACAGAAAGGCATCTACAGCGCAAAAGCTCAAGAAACACAACGTGCACAGGCTCTTTGAAATTTGTGGCAATGTAGAAAATGCAGATCTTTCACCTTAGCTCTGATGCAGACAAAGGAGTGTATGCTGCAAGCATTGAGATTTGTTCTGCAAAGGGAGAGCTTTCACAGAATAACTGCGTTTCATCGTGCGTCTCCAGCGCCCCTCAGCGCTGGACTCTAGATGTCTGCGTCTATGCCACACCAACATTAACAGACTGCCACACCAACAGCAACAAACAACCAAGCAAAAAATGATTGCAAACTGAGCCCAGCAGCAAATTATGGGGATTCGATCCTAAGCTGTCGACACTTTGAACTGGCGGTTCTTGAAGCATTGCCTACTTAGCAAGACATCTGCAGGCCAGAATATGAAGTGTTTGTCACCTCATCCCACTTTGTCTTGGACATCGGCATTCTTTTCCAAGAGGAAGGCGCGCAGAATATATGCCCCAGCAGAACAAGAGCATAATGGGCTGCTTCTACCCCTGTGAACACCATCGGACTTTTGCAGACCTTCTTCCAAAGCTTGCGACCCAACACAAGCCGTTCGAAAAACAAAAAGGCAGGCAATCAAACCGGCTGACTGCCAGACTGCAGGAATCTTTAGCTTAACTACGCTCGTGACACCAAGCACTCTTTGAAGCTAGCTTCGGGATGCTTCTCCAGGATTTTTCTGGCCTCATCAGGTGCCACACCTTGCAGGTGGGTGCACAAACAAAAGTATGTTCATAGTATGTTAATGGTATATGTACGGTATATTATGGTATAATTGTGGTATGTTAGGGTATATTATGGGTAGATTAAAGTACTTTATGGTAGGCCAAACAATGACTTGAACGTCTTGTAGAATTGCAGGACGACCACTCGTTTCCCTCAAGGAGCCACAGTTAGGATTCCACGTTCGCCTTGGGGGAGGCATGACTTTCAGGATAGTCGATCTTCCACCAAAATACTCAGCCGTGAAATCTGAGCGATCCTAAGCCTAAATCCTTTCAGGTCATCCTGGACCCTCAATCAAAGGTTGAAACCATGGGCCCCTAGTATGAGCCCTCAACCCCTTATCTACCTACTATATACCCTAATGTAAAGGTTCCCTAGAACCCCCCTAAAAGGCCTACAGTAGGGGCCCATATTTGGGGGCCCATACTTCTAACCTTAGACTCAACCCCAACCCGAGACCTCTAATGGCTTTCAAGTGGCTGGGTCCTTCCCGTTTATCGCCCGAAAGCTGCTGTAAGCCAGCACGAATGGGAGCTGGAACCGACGAGGATTGGGACAACCTTCTGCAACCTGAGCCACGTGGTTTCCGGGTTTGTGGGGTCAAGGCTGGCTAAGGTGTTGAACCGACGGGAAGGTGTGTTGCAACCTGGGCATCACTTCATGGAGGGAACCCCCAAGATTCTGAGGCAGAGCACGTTCTGCTAGGGGAGTCGGTCCAGAGTATGGCCCCTTTGTTGAGCATCCAGATTCCTAGTTAGCATGTGAGACAGGGACGAAAAGGAACGGACATTAGGAATCCATGATGGAACTGTGGTTGTGGTATGTTCCCTGTTGGATTCCGAACCTGCCAGGTTAACAAGCCTTCTTCCTCTTCCTAAAACGGAAACGGGTCCCCATAGGAGAGGGGCCCCGAAATGGTAGGCAGCCCTAAACCCTAAACGCTGAACCCAAACTCTGGGGTTGACCGGGGCCAAAAGCGGCATTGCAATGTTTTGCAGTTCAGTATGTAACGCAACACGCGGCAGCGTAGCTTCTAGGCAGAGCATATAGGAACATTCACTGTAGTAATCTGGGTTGCGGTTAAGGAACTTGCTATGATAAGGAAAGCCTGTTATTTACTATATACCTATATTCTGGTAACTTAAACTTAGCTCTTGAACAGCAACCCAGTAATGTAGTTGCATGGCTGGAGGACGAAAGACCGGCCTCGGTCAAGGGCTGCACCCGCTTTTTCGACGCCCCGGTCCATAACACGCACTCCTTCATCGCAGGCGCGGTCGGCAACCTTGCAGGGTTTTTTGTCTTTCAAGGGTTTCGGTGAAAGAGGGGGGTGAAACCTGAGAAGCCCCACAAACAAGAGGCTATGAAGTCATGTACAACAGCTCTGTAGGCCGCGCCACTTTAAGCCTTAAGCTTTATCAAGACAGTACCAAAACCCTTGGGCCGCCTTGAAACTCGTTTTCCTCCCTGGGATCCTCCGGGATCTTCTTATGTCAATATCTCATCCCTGATGAACACTATACAACCCCTTCCCTCCAAGAGCATCCTCCCACCCTTGAGGCCTGGGCTAGTAGAGGGAGCTCTTACGCATCAGGGGGAGGTAGCGTGCTTCAAGCTACACATTGCAAAAACTGCAGCGTATGTGCCTAGAAGCATGTTCGAGTTTCTGACAATCATCCCAAAATCATCCCGATATAAACCTGCATGATATGTGCCTTTACAACATATTTGAAATCCTCGTATGTCCCTAGAGTCCTCATTCCCCCACCCCCCCTCCCCCCTCGCCATGGCAGCGGCCTTCAAGTAGAGGGACCCCGCTTTCCTCGCCACAGAGCCCGACATGTCCTTGTCAGCTCACAGCCTAACCCACAGCGAGCAAGGATATGAAAAGCCAAAAGCTACATCACCGCAACAAAAACAGAGAAAAATGAAGAACGTCATCCTGACGTCACTAAAGTTAAATGCGCAGTTGCAGCTTTCCAGCGAGGACTGCAATTGCTTTCCTCAATCTAGAATCTAGAACTTGCCTCCAGAGATTCAGAAAGAGCTGCAAAGTCAGTCAATGCTTTATTCTTCATGGTCAACGCGCATTGCTAGATGGATTTCGTGATTGCAACGAATTAGTTGGAGAGTTAGGGGGGGCGCAGGTATGAGCGAGCTCCTCACGCAGGCGATATGCAATGCTTTGGATTCCTCAGAAGAAGCGGCCCTAAAGGATTTGCTGAGAACATGCGATTCCTCGAAATCGAGCCGTCAAACAGGAAAGCCATCATATAAGCCCAATATGTACCATAATATACTATAGTTGTTTCCATTTTCTTTTCCACTATCCCTATATAACCCCAATGTATACCATGATTTATACTATTCTTAGATTCCTCCGTTGCAGCCTTGATTCTTCCCGTGTGGATGCATACAAAGCGGCTGCACCGAGGAGTGCGCCCGACACGGGGCCACCCAAAAGCATACCTGCGTCGAAGTCTCCAAATGAGCTATAAGGGGGGTTATACAGGGGATTATATAGGGGACTACTATAGGGGTTATTAAGGGGGGTACTAGGAGTTTAGCTATAGCTCAAATGATGGTGCTGGGATGTCTCAGAGATGTACAAGGTTTAACAGGACAGCCTTATGGGCAGCATGGCCCCCGCGCTGAAATCCGCCGGAAAAGTACATATAATCCCTATATTACCCCCTGTAGTTTCCATTTTCTTTTCCATTATCCCTATATAAACCCCAATATGTACCCTGATATACTATAATTGTTTCCATTTTCTTTTCCAGTATCCCAATACTACCCCAACATACCATCCCAATATTACCCCAATATAATATGGTAGTTTCCATTTTCTTTTCCATTATCCCACTACTACCCCAATATACTATAGTACATCTGCAGCTGCAGAATCTACAGCTCTGCCATGCGCTGCCAAGCCTGTGGCACCACCTATGGTCGCTGCGGCGCCTTGGATCCTTCGTCAGACTCCCCCCTCCTATATATATATATGTACATACATACATACATACATACATACATACATACATAGACATATATATATATACATATTGGGGTTATTTAGAGGTTATGTAGGGATAATGGAGAAGAAAATGGAAACTACCATATTATAGCATATTGTATTATACTATAGTATATTATGGTATATTACGGTGTATTAAATGGAGGTTGCTCAACTATCGCTCGCAGCTTGCGAAGTCCTTCGGCCAAGGTCGCCACTAGCAGGTGCCTTGCGCAGGACGGCATGAAGACATCACCAGCAAGCTATCGCCCAAGTACAGTACGAACGTCACTTGCACACACCCGACCAAGGCGCATTGCCCCTGATCTCCTCATGTAAAGCCTCGGTCGAAGAAAATCCTTCTGGAATGTCCTGCAGTCTGGGTTGCTTTCTGCACGTAGGGCCCATTGACTAGACTGTCCTGGTCTTCACATTCAGAGGTTGGTCTGTCCATCTCGCTCTCTGCCTCAGCAACGTCCTCCTCGCGTGGCTCAGGGCATGCAAAGCTGTATTGAGTGCTTCTCAGCCTCTGAAAAAGGCGTGAAGGTCAACAGATAAATCCAAGTGGTAGAGGCCAGATGCCAAATGCGCGCTGCAGACCAGTTGTCCTGGCTTTGGCTTTTGACCTCCAAGTGCTTCCTGAGATGCGCGAATGACGAAAACACCTGAAATTCCGCAGTGGGGCTGCAGAATCGTCCCTCCCTGCATGCAAGGCACTGAATCGCGTCATCGTTGAAGGGAAGCTTTTGCATTCCTTTGCCCTTCCGGCTTGATTTGGGCGCCATCGATGCGGCAATGGCAAGCACTGTCCAAATCAAACCTTCTACTAGCAGGATGGGTTTTCAGACCTTGTAAGCCTCTGAATCTACCCTTATGCGTTTCATCGCAGGTTCTTCATGGCGAGTCACAGGCCTGATCCCTTTGTGCTAAGTACAGTCTCTGCTTGGTGTTCTTTAGGTGGTTGGGTGCTGTTGCCAGAGGTTGCCAGTCTTGTTCATCATGCCCATGTGTCCAAGTGCGGCACTTTCGTAAGACAGCTGTTTGGATATACTAGTTGTTGTTTAACTTGCCAGCTGGCTAGAGCTCTAACTTGGCTACCAATTAGGAGGTCAGCTTATGTGTCTTGGGCCACAAAACAAGATTTAGAGTCCAGAAGCAGAAACAGCAAGAAGGGAAACAGTGGCAAGTCTGCTTTTTGCCACATGTAGGTTTGCCAGGATAAGGGATCAATTTTTTTGGCAGGCTATAGCATATTGGGGGGGAGGGTCCAAATCTATGGAAACTCCCACACAACTACAGCTCACCACCCATTCATAAATGCTATGAAAACATGTTTTTTTTCTTCAGCATTCAGGCAAGATCCAGCTGGGCAAGGCACCCGGAGCGCGGTGCCAATGTTCGCAGGGTTGGACGTGAGATAGCCTCTCGCCAGGCCGGATGAGGGGCGCTGCGTGGTTGAGGCACATTCTTCTTGCGATTACGACAAGGAGAACATCATCTTGGTGTCTGCTGGGGGCGACAGTATGGGAATATAATTTCAAGAATGCTAATCATATGGTGTGGGCTTACTCCTACTCTTCCAACCACGCCAAGGCCACGGCCCAAACGATCACTCCGAGCAAAGCTCACACGGTCGGCAAGGCTGCCGGAAACATGCGCCAGCACCTGAGCCAGTAAATGCAAAACACACTGGAAAACCTCTGCTCCCAGCATCAGCCAAGCAACGGCTGAGAGCTCCCGAAAGGCCGCCTGGACCTAAACCGAACAGGCAAGACACTGCCAGAGCACATCCCAAGTCCCTCCTAGGTGCCCGGCATCGCCACCCTGCCTCTGAGAAGTAGCTTTCAGGTGCTCCTGCAATCTGCAGCTGCAAGATGTAGACATGCACCGGTATACTGGACAACACTACTGCATGCAGACTATCACTTTTTTACCTCAGGGAAGGCTTCTTCACCAACCCCGTCCTCCTCGTTAATCCACAAGGTGAGGCTCTTGCGCTCATTCACAAAAACGCCTGTGCAGGGCCAGCGTGTTCTTTCTAAGCCCAGCACATGATCCGCCCCAACCGCTCGCATTGAAGCTTCGATGTTACAGACTTCCGAAGCTGTTGGAACTACCACCAGGCTTGTCATAATAATTTCGCTGATGGGCATGCATATCTTCATTACAGTCTTGATGCTCTTAACCCACGACTGATACTGCTTGAAAACAGTCTAGACTTTCAAATGCGGACTATGGGCCTCGTCCGTGTGGCCAGTGCCTTCCAGATCCGGTGCTTAGCACGGCTGGCGCATCTGGGTTGTGAAAGAGCAGGTAGTCGTCGGCAAGCATCTGGGGGGCTTCTCAAAACAGAATCCTTCCTTAGGGTCCCTAGTTCCTGCCTATGACGGGATTGTCATTAGGAGTCCGGGGTTTGGGATTTAGCATCTAATTGTCATCTGACGTGCGTTCAGTTCAGCCTGCCGTGAGGGGAGCTGCAATGCATGCAAATGCCTTCTCCTCCTCCAAAGTCATTCCATCTGGCTTGGATGGATAGGAGGACGAGCCCGCCAGGGGAAAGTAGGTGCCCTTCAAAGCACCTGCTCCAGCGTCACAGTGTCTACTACCCACACATCGCTTGGGACAACGGCGGCGCTTCGCGTGGATTCTACGGCCTTTTTTTACGTGTGTAGGCTCTGATCTGCTTGCCACTAGCACTAGCCTACATGTTCCTGTTGTGCAGAATGCCTAAGGTAGGCCGAGATTTTGTACAGTGGGGGAGCGATTCCCTCAACCCTCATGTTCCAACGCCTTCCATCTGCAGCGCTGCTCCCGTGATAATGTGTTCGACCTGACATGCTCTTGGCGATTTCCACAGCTAAAGGTTCTCCTTTGAGTCTCAGCTCCTAACCTGGGCCCCTACCTGTTTCTTGGGTCCCAACAACGGGCCATGGATTACATTTCTAGGGCTTTGTAGGGTACATACAGAATGGGTATACAAGGACCCCAAGGTTATGTGCCCATGCTAGTGGACCACAGTTGAAACCTTAGATGGAAAGCCTTTGTGTGAATTATGCTTATTTCGCTTATGTAGGGAGGACCCTATGTTGGTAAATGCCAAGCGGGTAAGATGGCACACGGTGCCTCTAATCGATGTTTCAAAAACACAGGGCCACCTCCATATCCAGTCTGAATACAAGAGGTCCCCGCATGTTTAAGCTTCAGAAAATAAGCGGAAGCAAATTCCGGAATACCCTGGCTTGTTAGAAGCATGCGTCCTGCCTCTTTTCGCGAACAAGAGACGGGACCCCACTCACTGGTACATCCAAAAAGCTCCCCTCAACACAAGGCCCGTTAGTCCCCTTCCTTGTATCGATACGTAAATTCTTGGCTTCATGGAAAAAATCACCAACCACACATCTATAGCCGTACATGATCATAATGAACCCCTGACATCCTTTAGGCCCCTGGTTTAGGGTTTAGAGTTTAGGGTTTAAGGTTTAAGGTTTAGAGCTTAGGGTTTAGGGAAATCCTGGCGCCTCCTGTCGCTGATCCCTTGTAGCGGCTGGTGGGAATGGGATCCCATCCAGATTCCTTGCAGACGGCATGGGCTAGAGAATGTTCACCAGGCAGTACCTTAAGCCTACTTGGTAGCTTCCCAAAATATGGGGACTCAACATAGACCCCAATATACCATAGTCCTTATTATCGGGACCCTCAAAAAAGACCCTAATTTCGGGAAACCCTAAACTCTAAACCTATATAACCTTATAACCCCTATACAACCCCTATATAAACACCTTTAAAGGTACACCTAAGTTTGAGAAACCCCTAAATACCTTGACATTAAAACAGATTCCGCAATTTCCATTTTGTTTTCCATTCTCCCAATATATCCCGACATAACCCCATATATCTCAATATATCCCAACATAACCCCACCCTAAACCCTAAACCCTAAACCCTTTCGAAATACCTTGACATCAAAACAGGAGAGCGGGTCTGTTCTACCTCACTACCGGCCAGCCTGGAAGCCGCAACTTTGCAAGAGATCACCTCAGCTTTCTCATGCAAATCGTAGGAAAACTCCTATGGTATATTGGGGCTATATAGGGGATATGGGGTTTAGGGGTTATATATAGGGGGTATATTGGAGTTATATTGAATTAATGGAGAAAAAAGGAGACTAATATAGTCTACTGGGGTTTTATTGCAACGAAGACAGGTCCAGTGTAGTTCCAAAGGCGAGGAGCATAGCCCTCCAAACCCTTTACCCTAAACCCTAAAGACTCCAAAGGCGAGGAGCATAGCCCTCTAAAGGCTCCGCCGACTCTGCAGTGAGAGTTCGGCGCCCAGGGCACTTTGCGTGAGCAACGGGCACCTGCGGACCGCGCTGCGCCAGAATCATCTTCTTAATATGTTACAGTAGTTCCAATATAATCCCACTATACTATAGCAGTTTCCATTTGATTTTCCATTACCTAATATGACCCCAATATACTATAGTGGTTTCCATGTTGTTTTCCATTCTCCCAAGATTATTATGACTTTCAATTTTCTTTCGCATTATCCCAGTATACCCCCTTGTAGCACTGGCTCCTGCCTTCCCATGACGACCTGCAATCAATTTGTCGAAGAGCGGCCTCAAATGAAACCGGGTAACAAGTTTGGACACTGCAGGCATGCTGGAGCTTTTTAGGGCCGCCCTGGCACGCGAAGACCTGGTAGCATTCTGCATCACCAGCAACCGCGCCAATTGATTTCAGAACCGGATGTCCCCGGTTGTCTATGCCTGCAGGCGTTCCTAAAGCAACGTCTACTCTGGGACTCTGGGAAGACAAGCTAACCCCAAGCCTGTCTTTATACACCGCGCCAAAGAGACACCTGGCTCACATCTTGCTGTAAACATGCCCTATGTCTAGAGCGCAGTTGTACGCTTTAAGACTGACAACCGTGGCCACATGACATGTGAACTCAACAGCCAAGTGTTCAAATACTGCCTATGCAGGAGGCATTCTTGCCCGACTGACGGCACTTTCACTCCTGTACTCAACTAAGGAGGGCGGGGCTGGGGTGGTTCAGGACTGCTTGTCGCACCTGAAGAGGTCCGGCGATCTTTGAGCTCCTGGTAAATCTCCGGATTTCCCTTGCAGGCCAGGCTAGACTCAGGATCCATCAAAACGAATTCCAGGGGTGCAAGTGGGAGATTCATTTTAAAAAAACAAGGACCCCTACGGTGGGGACGATACTATTGTTACTATGCATGAGGCCCCACCCTAAACCCTAAACTATAAACCAAGGAGTCTAGGTGGCAAAGCCACTCCCAGCCTTGAGGACATCGGCACACAGGCTACAGTGCCTCAGCACTGACTGAGACGATGCCGCAATTATGATGTGAAAGGCAACTTCTCTATGTCTCAAAACCGGGGTCTCCCTATTGACTCCCAATCAATTGGGATTCTCAGAAAATGACCCGGAAATTCATGCAAGGCTTCCAATGGTTGTTCCAATGGTTGAGGCTCATACTACTAGTGCGGATAGAATGGGGATCCCGGGACGCCTTCTCCTAGATACCAATATGGTAGTTTCCCAAAATAGGGGGACCCCAATATGGACCCCAAAATATTATAGTTCTGTATTATTGGGACCCCCCCCTAAACCCTATAACACCTATATAGCCCCTACAAACCCTTTAAAGGCACCCCTACTTTTGAGAAACCCCTAAATACCTTGAAATTTAAAACAGATTCAGTAGTTTCCATTTTATTTTCCATTACCCCAATATATCCCAATGCAACCCCAACATAATCAAAAAAAAATCCCCCTTGTTTGGGGAAACCCTAAACCATATGACCGTATATAACCCTATAACCCCTATATAACCCCCATAAACCCTTTAAAGGTACCCCTACTTTTGGGAAACACCTAAATACCTTGAAAGTGAAACAGATTCCGCAGTTTCCATGTTTCCATTATCCCTATATATCCCAATATAACCCCAAT